ATTTAAAATGTTAATTTTATGTGATGTAAATTTCACCTCTATATTTAACATTAAATAATGTCCCTCCCACTCTTAAAATCTTCCCGTGGTTCCACATTTCCTTAGAATAAAAGCCAAACTGCAAAGATTGTCGAACGCTGGCCCCATCTCTCGCTATTCTCCTTGGTCGCCACAAACTCCAGACTCACAGACACAGGGGCAGCTCCAGGGAGCGGCTCCTACTCCCTGATGTTCCCATCTCTGCCCGGGCTGCTGCTCTCGCCCAGAGCCTCTTCTCCTGCCAATCCCTGGCTGTCTCCTACTCATTCTCCAAAACGCAAACCACCCCCAGGGAAGCCTATTTGCTACCCAATATGGTAGCCAGTAGCCACATATGGCTACTGAGACCTGGAAGTGTGGCTGGTGTGACCAAGGAATTGAATTTTAATTGACTTGTATTAATTTTAATTTAAATGCCCATATGTGGCTAGTGCCTGACATACCGGATTGTGTAGCTCTAGACAGGTGGTTCTCAAATTTTAACCTGCATTATCACCCAAAGGACTGGTTAAAACACAGATTCCTGGGACCCATCTCAAGTGTTTCTGATTCTTTTGGCCCAGGGTGAAGCCCTAAAATTTGTACTGTTAACAATTTCTCAGGTGGTGCTAATGATGCTGGTTGGGGAACCACACTTTGATAACCATTGGTCTAAAGTTGAAAGTTCTACACTCAGATGATTCTAGACTCATGGTCTAGATGTAGACGTTCTGGACTGGTGGTTCTCAAAGTTCGGTCCCTGGACCAGCCACATCAGCATCACCTAGGAGTGCCTTAGAAATGCAAAACCCCCATCAGCAACCCAGCCCTCTTGGGTCAGAACTGTATGTTAGCGAGATCCCCGGGGGACGGTCTGCACACTTTAATTTTAAAATCAAAGAAACACTATTCTAGACTGTCATTCCTTGCGGTCGGGGCTTTGCTGATCTTTGTAGCACCAGCACTGAGCATAGTTCCTGGCACACAGTAGGTGCTCAATAGGAGGAATAGAAAACAGTGGGCGCTCAACAAATGCTTGCAGGAGGAAGGAAGGAAAGGAGAGATGGAGGTTGCCCAGCTAGTAAATCTATTTTTCTTTTTCTTTGTTTTTTTGACAGAGTCTCACTCTGTTGCCCAGGCTGGAGTGCAGTAGTGCAATCTTGGCTCACTGCAACCTCTTCCACCTCCCAGGTTCAAGCGATTCTCCTGCCTCAGCCACCCAAGTAGCTGGGATTACAGATGCCCGCCACCATACCTGGCCAATTTTTGTATTTTTAGTAGAGACGGGGTTTCACCATGTTGGCCAGACTGGTCTTGAACTCCTGACCTCAAGCTATCTTCCTGCCTCAGCCTCCCAAAGTGCTAGGACTACAGGCATGAGCCACTGCACCTGGCCAGCTAGTAAATGTATTTCTCATCATTCCCTCAAAGAATAGGGTCCCAGTCCACTTCCTTAAGCCTGACTCACTATTTCAAAACTGCCTCATAAAGGGAGAAGAGATCAATAAGGCAAGTCCTCAGATAGGAGATCAGCAGGTCAATTCTTCTCCCCACGGAGAAGCTACTTACTTATAGATCCTTTCCCCCACATCCATGGTCTCCACACCTTCTGGACTTTTAACCATGGGGCTTCTGACACCAGGCTGTTCCAGGCTTTCTAACTGAACACTGAAGATGGCAGCCTGGCCCAAGGGTGTCCCAGGTACAGAAAGGAGGAATTGTTATCAGCTAATGCAACAAACCACTCCCAGTGTATGCTGTATTTCTCTAGGCTCTTGTTTCTTGACACACCTCCATCCACCTCCAGTCCTCCTTAGCATCTCCTCTTGACCCAACTCTCCAGAAATCACAACTAAATCACAGCATTTTTTAACGGAAGAGGACCAAAAAGATCTATGCATATATAGAGAGAAAGAGAGAGAGTGAGAGTGAGAAACACCAATACTCAAAGAGATAAAATAGTCTGGTCACTGAGAAGGTTAGCGGGAGGTGGTACTCAGCTCTCCTGACCCCTGACTCAAATTTCCAGACACAAGTTATGGCCATAGTCCAGCAGCCACTTGCTCCTAAAGTTCTCAAGATATCTGATCCAAGGGATATCAGGTTAAAATTGAAAAATAGGCCGGTTGTGGTGGCTCACACCTGTAATCCCAGCACTTTGGGAGGCTGAGGTGGGCGGATCACCTGAGGTCAGGAGTTCAATACCAGCCTGACCAACATGGAGAAATCCCATCTCAACTAAAAATACAAAATCAGCCAGGTGTGGTGGCGGGTGCCTGTAATCCCAGCTACTAGGGAGGCTGAGGCAGGAGAATCGCTTGAACCCAGGAGGCAGAGGTTGTCGTGAGCCGAGATTGTGCCATTGCACTGTAGCCCGGGGAACAAGAGCGAAACTCCATCTCAAAAAAATAAAAATAAAAATGAAAAATAAAAATGATAATGACCGGGCATGGTGGCTCATGCCTGTAATCCCAGCACTTTGGGAGGCCAAGGCGGGTGGATCACTTGAAGTCAGGAATTCAAGACCAGCCTAGCCAACATGGTGAAACCCCGTCTCTACTAAAAATACAAAAACAAAAACAAACAAACAAAAAATTAGCTGAGCGTGGTGGCACACACGTGTAATCCCAGCTACTTGGGAGGATGAGGTAGGAGAATCGCTTGAGCCCAGAAGGTGAAGGTTGCAGTGAGTCAAGATCGTGCCACTGCACTCCAGCCTGGGTGACAGAGTGAGACTCTGTCTCAAAAAAAAAAATCAGCATTTGCTTCTCTGCACCAGAATCGAGGTACACAATGCTTCAGTTTCTAGGTAACTACAATTATCCTGCCAGACTAATACAATGAGGGAGTGCTAGTGGAGACCACCTGGAGACAGCTGAGGGCCATAGGTCAGGATTGAGTTTAACAGCAGGGAAAACAGCCTGATATGGTTTGGCTCTGTGTCCCCACCCAAATCTCACGACGAATTGTAATCCCCAGTGTTGGAGGAGGGGCCTGGTGGAAGGCGACTGGGTCATGAGAGCGGATTTCCCCTTTGCTGTTCTCATGATGGTGAGCGAATTCTCATTAGCCTTGGCTGTTTAAAAGTGAGTGGTGCCTTCCCCTTCACTCTCTTCCTCCTGCTCCAAACATGGAGGACGTACACGCTTCCCCTTCGCCTTCTGCCATGACTGTAAGTTTCCTGAGGCCTCCCTAGCTATGCTTCCTGTACAGCCTGCGGAACTGGTGAGTCAATTAAACTTCTTTTCTTTATAAATTACCCTGTCTCAGGTAGTTCTTTATAGCAATGTGAGTTTATTTTATCTCTTGGAGTATTTGTGTTTCGATAGATAGATAGATAGATAGATAGATAGATAGATAGATAGATAGACAGACAGACAGACAGACAGACAGACAGACAGACAGACAGATAGATAGATAGATAGATAGATAGATAGATAGACAGACAGACAGATAGATAGATTAGATAGATAGATTAGATACATAGATAGATAAGATAGATAGATAGATAGGTAGATAGATAGATAGATAGATAGATGACAGATAGATGACAGATAGATAGACAGACAGAACAGGCAGACAGATAGACAGATAGACCTTTTTGGTTCCCTCTAATTCAAGAATGGTGCGACTGTGTGTATTAGTCTGTGGACGAATACACAGTCCCAGATCTAAAATTCTGCCTCACAGATTCCTCAATGGGGGTAATCTTGCCAGGCCCACCTCTGAACCCCTTGGACACAAATACCTCCTAAACGTTTAATTTATATGAAACAAACAATACCGGTTTATTGTAGGGGTAAATTCACCCCTACAACTCTCCTTCCGTTGCCCAGAGGTAATTACTGCTAATGTTTTGTTACCCTTTATTGACTCTTTCAAGATTTTTTTGAGTCTACATATGATTATTTTTTATATAATAAAATCATACTTTACATATTGTTCCATATTGGAATCTGTTTTATTCATTAAAAAATATCTCATGTAAATGTTTCCAAGTCAATAAATATGAATTATTTTGGTGGTTGTTTGTTATTCCTTTTAATGGAGGTATAATAATTTCTTTAAGCACTATCTTCTTACTAGACACTTGGGTTATGTCCAACTATGAAAAAAAATTCACGGCAATGAGCATCCTTTTTCGTATGTCATTGAGCATGTGCCTAATTATTTCCTTAAGACAAACTCTTACAGGAGGAATTGATGCATCAAAAGATAGGCGTATTTTTCAAGCATTTGGTCCATATGTCAAATTGTCCCCGGCATGGCTGCACTCTCAGAAAGTGAGGTCCTTGTGGGAAAGCTCTCCCAGAGCAGATGGGAGCTGAGCTGGAAGTTGAAAGATGTTGAAATAGAGACAGAGGCAGCTGTGAGAAGCAGTATGGTACAGCAGGGCGAGTACCAACTTTAATTTCAATGGAAAACCTGGCTCCCTCCTCACAAACTGTGTGACATGGGCAAATTACTTACCCTCTCTGAGCCTCTCTCTTTCTTCATCTGTAAATGGAGCTATGACTGCCACCCTCTCACTATTGTAAGAACTGGAAACAATGTACATTAAAAACCTTGCACCGTTGTGCACTAAATATTTTTTGAATGGATAAGTTAATGGATAGACGGATGGATGGATGAATTTTTAAAAAGGAAGGAGGAAGAGCAAGGGAACGGGATGAAAGTAAAGACAAAGCACATTTGTTGGAATGTTCATAGACTGGCTTGTTGGGTGGAGGGCTGGTCGCCTTTGGGAAGTTCTAGGAGGAAAGGAGAGACAGGGATGGTGCAAACTGAGCAGTCGTTTTCTTCATCACAACTTGTTCCTTTTTCTCTGGGTGCTGGTGGCTGGTGAGCAAATGTGTCCCTGTTTCACGATGATGACCCTAAGGCCCAGATATAAGTTGTTCCCCACCCAGAGGCAGAATCCCACACCCCAGCCTGGGCTCAGCATTGCAGTGGGATCCACCAACCCCAGCTGAGCCTCTTACCTCGACGAGCTTGCCACACTCCAGTGAAGGCACCCACACTGCCCGCTAGCTCACACTTCTCAGCCCATGGGCCATTGTCTCCTAGAAACCAGAAAAAGCATAATGGTTACCAGGCTGGTTGGACACTTTCGCTGACCCTCCCACTCTAGCCCTATCTCCCTGTGCAGCGCAGGAACTAGATAGAAAAAGGACTTATAAAGACAAACATGGGCCTGCTGCAGTGGCTCACGCCTGTAATCCCAGCCCTTTGGGAGGCGGAGGCAAGCAGATCACTTGAGGTCAGGAGTCCCAGACCAGCCTGGCCGACATGGTGAAACCCCTTCTCTACTAAAAATACAAAAATTAGCCGGGTGTGGTGGCGGGCGCCTACAATCCCAGCTGCTCTGGAGGCTGAGGTACAAAAAACGCTTGAACCCAGGAGGCGGAGGCTGCAGTGAGCCGAGATCACGCCACTGCATTCCAGCCTAGGTGACAGAGCGAGACTCCATCTCAAAAAATAAGTAAAAATAAATAAATAAATAAATAAAGACAAATATGATTCCCACTCGTGAAGAACAACCCTTGATATGAGGCCTGTCTCTACTGGGCTTTCAGAGACAAGTGGCCTTTTCTGCCCCAACCCAGCCCCATCGTGAGCCTCTTGCCTTCCTTGCCTTTCCTCCCCTTCCTTCCTCTTTCCTCCTTTGCCTTTCTGTAAGTTTTCAGCAATCTCATTGCCACCGTCATCAGCCTCAGTCCAGCGACTGTTTATTGAGCATCTATTATGCACCCAGTGTTTCACATACATCGTCTCATAATCCTCCAACATGCTATGGAGTAGATTCTGTTATTAGCTTAATTTTGCAGATGAGGAAAAGGAGGCTTGGAGAGATTACGGGAATTCCCTCAGTAGTAGAATATAGATTCAAATCCTATAGGAGTTTATAACACCTTTGCTGCACGGTAGAGAGTATCGGTCTCTACCTGACCCGAAAGCAGTGCTTCTTCTTCTTTTTTTTTTTTTTTTTTGAGACAGAGTCTTGCTCTGTCGCCCAGGCTGGAGTGTAGTGACACGATCTCAGCTCACTGCAACCTCTGCCTCCCAGGTTTAAGTGATTCTCCTGCCTCAGCCTCCCGAGTAGCTAGGACGACTGGCATGTGCCACCACGCGCAAACAATTTTTGTATTTTTAGTAGAGACAGGGTTTTGCCATGTTGGCCAGGCTGGTCTCAAACTCCTGACCTCAGGTGATCCGCCTGCCTCAGACTCCCAAAGTGCTGGGATTATAGGTGTGAGCCACCACGCCTGGCCGAAAGCAGTGCTTTTAACCTCTGTGGTTGCTCCAGACAGAAACCTAAAACACATCATGCATGTATGAGGCCTTTAAAGTGGCCACCAGTTCAGCTCACTAAGGCCACTCAGTCAAAAGACGTGACACGGGGAGTGGCAGCAAGCGGAATCTTTGGGACCAGGGAAGATGGAGAAGAGGGAAATCTTAGAACTGCACAAGGACAACACAGGCTCACAATGTCAATGTCATTCAATGGCAATTAAGAGCAATACTCAGATAGCCTGAATTGACACACAGGGGCCAGCAAGGCGCCTGCTGTGTGTGTGCAAACCTGCCCAGGGACTTGGCCTTGGAGGCCCCAGTGGACAGGTGCTCAGCATTCAGGCCAGCAAGCCTTATCTGGGCCTCAAGTTCAAAGCAAGTCCCCTGACCTATGAAAGGGGATCACGAGGCCAGACTCTGCTCTTCACAGGTAACGTGCAAGTTTATCTATTAAATGGCAGTTAGGCTGGCTGGCTTTTATTACTTTACCTGTAAACCAGAGGAATGTGTTGTCCTTCGCCGTGTGGTCAACTTTGTCCTTGATCTGGCCAACCAGACCGTCCATCTCCCGGAGCCCTGCACCATACAGCCTTCTGCCCCGTGGGGCTGCCGGTAGCTGAGTCACAGGTAAGGGCACGTGCATGTGGGCCAGAGCCACATAAAGCAGGAAGGGCCTCCCGCCGGTGCTGAAACAGGAGAACCAAGAGGTGACTCTTCAGAAGGCTCTCCTGGCTCATCTGGTGCCTCAGGGATCCTCCCTCTCCTCCAGGAAACTCCCCAAAGCTCCTTCTGCCCCATAGGCTCGGGAAGGACACATTTATCCATAACCTTCCAAGGAAATGTGAAAGCAATCTGGTTAGCCGATTAAAAATGAGAACTGTAATAATAGTTACTATCCCTTATCATTTACTGAGAGCTTATTATATGGGACTCATGTTGTCTAGGTTCATCCTCATCATAGCCCCGTTTTTCAGATGAAGAATCAGAAGCTTAAAGATTAAAGGACTTGCCCAGGGTATGCAATTAGTTACGTGTCCCAATCTTGCTCTTAAATGCCACACTGTAAAGTCTAAGGCACACACACACACACACACACACACACACACACACACACCCCTTTATATTTTATTTTGCAGCATCCGAACTATCCTGTCCATTCTCAGCCTCCTTCCTTCCTTCCTTCCTTCCTTCCTTCCTTCCTTTCCTTCCTTCCTTCCTTCCTTTCTTTCTTTTTTCTTTTTGTTTTTTAGACAGAGTCTCATTCTTGTCGCCCAGGCTGGAGTGCAGTAGTGCAATATTGTCACACTGCAACCTACGCCTCCTGGATTCAAGCGATACTCCTGCCTCAGCCTCCTGAGTAGCTGGGATTACAGGTGCCCACCACCACGCCCGTCTAATTTTGTATTTTTAGGAGAGACGGGGTTTAGCTATGTTGGCCAGGTTGGTCTCAAACTCCTGACTTCAGGTGATCTGTCCTCCTCGGCCTCCCAAAGTGCTGGGATTACAGGTGTGAGCCACTGTGCCTGGCCAGTCTTGTTCCTTTCTAAGAGATAAGTGGTTGTCTCGAGTTAATCACAGGAATTCCAAGGACACATATGACCACCAGGTAACATCTAGATCAGGGCTCTGTCAGAGGCCCTGTTGTTCTGCTGCCTCTGTAGTAATCCTGATTCCCCTGGAAAGTGCAGAATGAAAGGCTTGGAGGAGCTGGGGTTGTCTCCAAGCAAAGGTCCCAGCCTTACTTCCAGCTGAGAGCAGCTGCAGAATTACAACGGTGGCAGGGACCTTCAGGGGCCCCTCTCCCACAGATCCATCCACGGGGGTCTTTCAGAGGACACCAAGCAAGGGTACTGGGAGAGTACAGAATCAACAACATTCCAGTGGGGGCAGATGCATGGCCCTTTCATACCTGTTCACCCAGAGATTCAGCTGCACCCAGGGGTCTCCTTAGCTCACCCTGGTTTACACCACCTCACAGCCTTGCTCTATAGCCACCTGTGCCCTCAAACTCCCCTGCATCCTTACTCCCAGGGTCTGCCGCCCGGGACTGTGCTTGCACTCAGTTCTCCTTGATAGGCATAAAACCCTGGACACAAGTCCCAAGACAGGGGCCTCTGCCTTCCCCATTTTAATTCACACTTTCTCTGCAACATTGCTAGAGTTGTGTTGTTCAGGGCAGTAGCCACAAGTCACATGTAACTATTTAGATTTAAATGAATGAAAATTAAATCATATTAGAAGTTCCATGGCTCACACACTAGCACATGGGTGGACCTGGAAAATATTATGCCAAGTGAAATAATCCAGTCACCAAGAAGCAAAATAACTGTATGATTCCACTTGTGGGAGGTGCCCGGAATAGTCAAATTCAGAGAGAGAAGGTAGGATGGTGAGCGGCAGGGCACTGTGGGGAAGAAAAACTGGGCAGTGCATGTTTCATGGGTACAGTTTCAGTTAGAAAAAATGAAAAAGTTCTGAAGATGGATAGTGGTAATGGTTGCAAAACAAAGTGAATGTTTAATGCCACAGAACTTTACATTTAAAATGGTTAAGATGGTAAAATTTTATCATTATATATATATATCTGTATATATTCATACTCACAGTAAAATACACACACACACACACACACACACACACAAATTCCTAGCCACATTTCATATGCTCAGCAGCAGCAGGTGGCTAGAGGCTAGCAGCTTAGACAGTGCAGACAGAAAACATCTCCATTCTTGCCGAGTTTTTTCGTACAGCACTGATTTGCAGTGCCTGGTGACCCCTCTCCCAGGGATGGTCATGTACAGTTGTGCAGGTTGTGGCCTGCATCAGGACATCCTGCTGAGTGAATGGGTCCTTATTTCCAGCTTACAATCTACTGCCTTGGTACCCTGCACAGGGCAGTGCCTAGCCACAAGGGGTGTCTTTTTGTAATTTTCAGGTAGATTCCATATTGCAGTGGTGCCTAAACCTGGCTCAAATTTCAAGAATTTTGCAAACCAGTTGTTAAACACGGCCATTGCTAAAAATTGAATTATATAAGTTTACAATTAAATAAATTTTATTTTTTTGCCGGGCGTGGTGGCTCACACCTGTAATCCTAGCACTTTGGGAGGCCGCGGCGGGCAGATCACTTGATGTCAAGAGTTTGAGACCAGCTGGGCCAAACATGGCGAAACCCTGCTACTACTAAAAAATACAAAAATTAGCCAGGTGTGGTGGCAGCCACCTGTAATCCTGGCTACTCGAGAGGCTGAGGCAGGGAGAACTGCTTGAAACCAGGAGGCAGAGGTTGCAGTGAGCCAAGATTGTGCACTGCACTCCAGCCTGGGCAACAGAGTGAGACTCTGTCTCAAAAATAAATAAATAAATAAATAATATTTTTTAAAGGTGGTACATTCTCACCATTTATCACGTCCTAATTACTACATTCTACTATGATGTATGCTCATGGGCTTATTTACATCTATTGTATCTGTGTCATGAAAATAACACACAATGGCTTGCTACTGCCCATCATTTCTCAATGCCACATTCAGTGACATCTCCATAGCTGGAAATCAGCCATGGTGAGAGTGAGTATTTACACCCCAGGAATTGGCAAATGCTACAGATTGCGGCTGTTTTCTTGGAAATCAGCTCACCGTGTGTATGGGTGAGGGGTGGTCCTGCTGTCCACCCTTCATCATCCATCATCATCTTCCAAATTCTCACCCATTATCAAAGTCACATTAGCACCCTGAGCCAGAGGCTTACAGAGAAGGGCAGTTATGAGAGATGGCAGAGCACAGGCTGATGAAGAGCACAGCCTTGAAAATCCTGCATCCAAACCTCCGGATTTGTTACTTCATGACTGTGTAGCCCTGGACAATTAACTTACCCTCGCCATCTATAAATTGGGGACAATCAGACCTCCCCAACAAAGTTGTTGTGTAACTTCCCACACTAAGCATCTAATAAATGGTAGCTTATTCTGTTGTTGTTTTTTGTTTCTGAGATGGAGTCTCGCTCTATCTCCCAAGCTGGAGTGCAGTGGCATGATGTCGGCTCACTACAACCTCCACCTCCCAGGTTCAATCAATTCTCCTGCCTCAGCCTCCTGAGTAGCTGGGACTACAGGCGTGTGCCACTACGCCTGGCTGATTTTTGTATTTTTAGTAGAGATGAGGTTTCACCATGTTGGCCAGGCTGGTCTCGAACTCCTGACCTCAAGTGATCCGCCTGCCTTGGCTTCCCAAAGTGCTGGGATTACAGGCGTGAGCCACTGCGCCCAGCTGCTTCCTTGTTAATAATGTTGAATACATGCCAGCAGTAGTAAGTATAAATGGTGCCCAAGGGTGTACCTCTTTCCCTGCATCCTGATGCCAGGCTAGATTCCAAAACATGGCATCAGGCAGAGCCCACACAGACTAGTCCCTTGGGGGCATCTGTCCTGCAAGTCACCTCTTCATTATGCACCTGTGTCGAATGGAAAATAGAGTGGGGGACACTTGGTGCTTTAAAAACATACTGACTATATCACAGTGTGACTCCATTTTTGTTTTTTAAAATACATTCATTTCAACTATGCCTTAATAAAACCAGGGAGACATATGTTTATGCACCAGCATAGAATGAGGCTAGAACATAATCAGAGCTATTAAAACAGGTTATCCTCATGCCTGTAATCCTAGCACTTTTGGGAGGCCGAGGTGGGTGGATCACCTGAGGTCAGGAGTTCAAGACCAGCCTGACCAACATGGTGAAACCCTGTCTACTAAAAATACAAAAATTAGACAGGCATGGTGATGCGTGCCTGTAATCCCAGCTACCCAGGAGGCTGAGGCAAGAGAATGGCTTGAACCCGGGAGGCAGAGGTTGCAGTGAGCCCAGATTGTGCCACTGCACTCCAGCCTGGGCAACAGAGCAAGACTCTGCCTCAAATAAACAACAACAACAACAACAACAATAGGTTATCTCCGGGGTGGAATTCAGGGTGATTTTTTTTGTTTGCTTGTCTCAGTTTTCCAAGATTCCTAAAGGGAACACGTGTTATTTTGGTGAGTAGAGAAGGAAAAAAACAAGTAAGATAACACAGGGAACATTCCAGGAGAGCAAGAGGATGTGGCAGGGCATGGAGACACACTGAAGATTATGGTGCAGGGACAGCTAAGGGTGGGGAAAATCATCTGATCCGAAGTGGAAAAGGGCAGGTGAGAGGCACCCATCTCTCAAGAAGTGTCCCCAGATGGTGCCTAGGTGGAGGGAGGCAGGCCTGGAGGTGAAGGCAGGGCTTCCCTCATGCAGGGGGAAATGAATACCTGCAGCTCTCAGCCCACTGGCCTCTCTGGTGGTGGTTCCCTGGGGATGGATGGACAAGGGGTCTCTCTGAATTGGACTGCTGCAATAACCACTTGTCCCCCACCCCACCATTTTGCCATCTTCCACTAGACCCTGGCATCACAGACAACCTTCTCTAACCCAGACTTGATCTGGCAGACCCATATTTAGAAACGTACTAGGGCTGTCAGGCACGATGGTTCACGCTTGTAATCCCAGCACTTTTGGAGGCCGAGGCAGTTGGATCACCTGAGATCGAGAGTTCAAGACCAGCCTGACCAACACGGAGAAACCCCATCTCTACTAAAATACAAAATCAGCCGGGCGTGGTGGCGGGCGCCTGTAATCCCAGCTAGTCGGGAGGCTGAGGCAG